TGCTTCCAGTTTTGGGCTCCACAATTCAAAAAGGATGTGGAGAAGCTTGAGAGAGTCCAGAGAAGAGCCACGCGCATGATCAGAGGTCAGGGAAGCAGACCCTACGATGACAGGCTGAGAGCCCTGGGGCTCTTTAGCCTGGAAAAGCGCAGGCTCAGGGGTGATCTGATGGCCACCTACAAGTTTATCAGGGGTGACCACCAGTATCTGGGGGAACGTTTGTTCACCAGAGCGCCCCAAGGGATGACGAGGTCGAATGGTCACAAACTACTTCAAGACCGTTTCAGGCTGGACATAAGGAAGAATTTCTTTACTGTCCGAGCCCCCAAGGTCTGGAACAACCTGCCACCGGAGGTGGTTCAAGCACCTTCATTGAACACCTTCAAGATGAAACTGGATGCTTATCTTGCTGGGATCCTATGACCCCAGCTGACTTCCTGCCCTTTGGGCGGGGGTCTGGACTTGATGATCTTCCAAGGTCCCTTCCAGCCCTGATGTCTATGAAATGAAATCTATGAAATCTATGAAAGTAGCAGAGACTAAGCTCTTAAAAGCTAGCTAGCCGTTAGAAATTATTGAAATGTCTCCAGTTCAGTTCTGGGCTTGAAGCTAGGAGCAGTGCTTTCTCTCAAGCTTTGGGTGTGCAGCCAGGTGCAGCAGGGAGGGTCTCTATTGGACTGCTAAGTGAGGAACTGGTTGAGTCCGTAAGTGAGCCATTATCTTAACCAGCATCAATCACTGTCATACTGAGGAGGACCCACACTGATAATTGAGGACCTGCACTCTACAACACAAATGTGGGGTTTTGATCATCCAGTTATACTGCAGTGAGACTTTTTTAATTATGCAATTTTACTGAAGTAGAACCTGATAGCACACTGTACTCGCATGGGGGAGGAGGGAGGGAGAGGGTAAAGTGAGTGGGGCAGTTCCCCAGGTGACACCATGTGGTTTCAGCACAAATCCATAAAGTAATACCATAGTGGCCTTGGGGAGGGAGGTGCTGGGGCAGTCCCCAAGCAAGGCACTGAAATTTCACAGGGGGTGCCCCAGCTCCTCACACACCCCACCACATTCCCTGCCTTTGCCCTACTCCCCACTTGTACTGAGCTACCACTTGCCATCCCCAGAAGTGGCCTGGGTCCTTTCATTAGGGATCCCTGTATGCAGGATCCCTGTTGGGAGGGGACCAACAAAGAGGGATCTCATGTGGGCAAGCAGGGATAGCTGGAATGTTACTGACTGCAGGTGACCATAAAACTCTGGACACTTTTTCTGTCTGAGTCAAAGTCCATTTCCATGTCTATGCCTTTTAGCAGGACAGCCGGGGAGTCCTCAATCTGGTTCCTCTGATGGGTTGTGGCTGTGTTGATCTTTAAGGCAGCATGTCCTCAAACACAGTGGCATCAGAGTCCTCTGATACATTGGTAATGTGAGTAATATCACTTTTTGTGATACCTGAGTTAGTTCCACAGAGAAGATGCATGTGATCCTGTGTCTGCTGGCACATGGTTGGTGTTCCATGTCCTTGCAAACTGCAGCTTCAGTACCTTGCATATGGAGCAGCCTTGAGCCTAGTCACAGTCATGTCCCCAGGTCAGTGTTTCCACAGCAGTCTGTTCAAAGACTGCCTGGTTTTTGCTGGCTTTATTGGAGCCTCCACTAATTCTTGACCTCTTCCAAATGGTGATGAGATTGACTACTTCCTACCTGGCCCTGTTGGTGCTGTGCTTGCTCATGATGTGAGATGAGGGGCAATTGTAGAGAAAGGATGGATGGGAGTGGAGATATGGTTGTCTGACATTGTAGGTGATGGTGGATTTGAGGGTGTCTCCGATAGATGAACATTCCTAGTGGTTTGATATCTCCATAGTTGGCTATATGGATGGATGGATACATACAGGCTTCAATACTGCTTTTGGGTGGGTGGTGGGCAAGAAATGTTTGGCAAGCTGCCATGCAAAGCAATTAATAGGTGGGAACTTTGCAGTGTCCTAGGACAAAATATTAGCAGATCTTATCCCACAAACCTTTTTGGGGTCAGTCCTGGGATGGTGGCAAAGGACATCTAAGCTATCATAATTCGTTATGGGAGAAAATTGAATCTCCTGGGACAAATGTGACATCTGTTCATAGCCTTCCTTAAAAGACAGAAACTGCAGTTTTGCTAGATGCTAATTGGATGATCTTGGGCCAGGTTCTCAGTTTCTGTCATTGCTGAGCAGCGTTGGTTTACACTAGCCAAAGTTTATAGTCCTTGATTTTTTTTTTTTTATTATTTTTTATTTTTTTTTTAAATCACACACTCATTTTGTTCAGTCAATTCTGTGCATATTCCTGAAACAACATGAGGAGAATGCAATAACATTATAGGCCTGATGGAAGTCATAGAGTAGAAGTGAATTTGCAGTTTATAATTAAGGAAAAATTTGCGGTGTAGTACTTGCAGTTATGTTACAGTGCGTGCAATAATGTTAGTTATAATAATGTTATGAATTTCTTAGTAATTATAATTAGCTGTAGTAGTAATATCAGCAGTTTAAAGGTTGGCACGATATGTTTTTCTTTGCTAGGTTCAGAACTTGAGAAATTGATTTTAAATATTTAAATTTTAAATGCCCCTTCCCTTTCAAAGGACCACCTTCTCATAGTTACTTGAGTTAGCTTCAAGAATGCAACCTGCAAGAGTTTGGTAACAGCTTTTTTGATAGCTAATCCATTGTGGATCCCAGGGCCAAAAACAAATTGTTCAGTCAGAAAGGTTTGTGACTGGTGAAGGAGTGTACTAAAACAATGAGTATGCCCATGGACCCCTACCCCAGCATGGCCTCTTCATCATTTCAGCTACAGAGGACCTGTGGAGTATAAACTCCCCATGGCTTGAAACCCCAAACCAGGTTCAAGGGCTTGTGCCTAGCCTGACTGCTGCAGCTGCTTTCCCTATGGCTATGTAAGAAGAAATTACCTTAATCTGGCCAATAATGGATTGATCTCTTTTTCTTTTAAGGTGTTAAATTTGTTGCAGATGAATGAAGTCTGACTCCATTGATTTTTTTTTTTCTCAGTTATTAATTGTAATTTAGAAATGGTAGAACAGATGCACTTCATGCCTCATTAGATGCTCTAGTAGATTACTGTAAATAATATATTCATGCCTGTTCCTTGCCACACAGTTCACTGTAGTGTGGTTGTTTGTAATCTGTGATTCTAAATAAATCATATTGCTTCCCATATTAGTAAGGTCACAGTTCAGATTGCATAACTTCCCTGATGTGTTCAGGAACATTCTGATCTGCATGGGTAATGACTCTTCTAAAAGTCCATTTGTAGAGGCTAATCATCATCTATTATACTTTCAAAAGGGTAATACATTTCAACTCAAGACCAGTGTTCATACATACACACAAACACATTTTTTAAACACTTAAATTGAAGATGAAGCTTGACTGCTAAACAACTGGAAAATGGCGTATCTCAGATCTTACACTGTATTTTCTTTTTATTCTAGAATGAAAAGGAAATTCTATTCTTGGGATGAGTGTATGAATCTGAGAGAAGTCAAGGTAAAGTTCAGAAAATACCATTTTGATAAGAATACTATGGGCCTGGTTGTTTTCAAGAGGTGGAAGGAATGGAGAGGCCCTAAAGGACCCACCTAGTTGCCCTAGCCCAGGGGCTACCTATAGTGGAAATCTAAATGTCAGGGCACTGCAGTCACCATGCTCTGCCAGCATCTCTGGAAAAAAAAAGTTAGCCTTTAAGAAAGCATCTGTGTTCAGGAAAGTGCTTAAGCAAAAATATGTTAAAGCAGAGCAAATTCATTGCATTTCCTTGGACAGAGTATTTGTTTGTAGCTTTTTGCTTTGGGCATCTTTTTTTCCACCTTCTTCTTTCCAGGCCTGCTGTGTTTCTTAAGGGAGAAACTTTACAATCATTGTTTGTAATTGCCTTGCTCCTTTTCATTTGAAATGAAGTCTAATTATTACTTTACCGTTTTTGTTTATGTAAAATAATGTGGAAGTACATTATCAGCTGCTTAGACTGAGAGGTTTTAAATGTGGTTTATTCTGCTGTTCGCCACTTAACTAGTTTTTAAGAGATGAGGATGGTTTTTATTACCACATATTTGCAAGATGCTTCATTAAACTGTGCAAACATTTTAGATGAACAGTATAAACAGATTATTTCAGCTTGTGTTGTACTACTGAAGTATATTTCTTTATAGTTCCATATTTTTTTTGCATACCACAGCCTCCTAGATAAGACGTCCCTTATTTCGGGAAAACAGAATGAAGAAACAAAGACTTTCCAGAGTCATGGGTGAATGCTGGCCACATGGATCTAGGGTAGTCATTGAGGCATCCCCAGAGTACAGGACATCCCCTTGGTGAAGGCGGGACAACTGGCCTCATAGCCAATCAGTGGTGAGGAGTAAAGCCACTGTCTCCTTTGCCAATCAGCAGTGAGGGGTGGGACCACCACAAAAACGCCACCTCCCTTCCTCCCTGGCTGGCCTGGAACCCTGCTCCTCCTGGCTGTGTACCTTCCCTTCTCTAGGTACAGCCAGTAGAATCGCGAGGAGAAATGATTGGCATGTATTTCCACCAATGAACTGAAAAACAGGACTTTGCAATCTGTTCCTCATTCAGAAATGGACAGGGGACAAAAGGGTTAAAAGCAGGGAAGTTGGGTATAAAACAGGATCAGTGGCCACCCTACATGGATCAGGGACAGTGTCCATACTTCAGCGTCATTGCCTTCCCCCGGCTGCTCAGCCAAGAGCTAGAAGTTTTGCCCTGTCACAGTTGCTGCCACATTGGCATCAGGTTTTGACTGAGCAGCAGGGGAGAGCAGTGACACTGCAGAGTGGACTCTGTCCTGCCTATTTGCAACATAGACACCAACACAGCCAGGACTGGCCCACAGTTTTTTGGGGCCCCCTGCAAGGCATAACTTGACATGAAGAAGGTGGTGGGGGTGGTGAGCGCAGGGGTGAATTAAGGTGCACTGGGGCCCTGGGCAAGCACAAAACTGGAGGCTTTTCCCCCTCCCCCCCACATGGTTAACTAGGTTTCAGGGGGTGGGGGGAGGGGCCCCTTCCCTTCCCTTCCCTTCCCTTCCCTTCCTAGTGCTGGCAGGGAAGGCTGGGTGGACCCAGCTGGGCTGGGGGACACATGCCCGCCACTTCTCCCTGCTCCCCGCCCCCGCATACGCATACACATGGCAGACAAGGGTCTTTGGGTAAATCTGATATCTCTTATTAGACCATCTAAGTAGTTGGAAACATTTTTCTAGCAAGCTTTTGGGTTTAAAAGTCCTTTGTCAGGCTGAGGAAGTATCTGCAGTTGGTGTGTGTTCTTTCTGAATGGAATGAGTAGTATAGAAGCCAGAGGCTTTTCTGCTTTCAAGCTAGTCAGTGAAAAGTAAATTGAGGAGTCAGTGGGTGAGAGTCAGTGGGTTTCGTGGAATCAGTCCTTAAACCGCTTGTTACTGAAAGAGCAAGTTTTGTCCAAGACACTACAGACTTTCTGTGAAAACTTAAAAACATAGATCACCTTCGTAGCTATACCCTCCTAGCCACCATGGATGATACCAGTTTATATACCAACATCCCACACCAGGATGGCATCCAAGCCTGCCTTACATACCTACAAAAGCAAGATGACGACTCTGAGTACAGACCCAAAGATATTACTGAAATGATATGCTTCATCCTCACACGCAACAATTTCACTTTTAATAACCAACACTTCCTCCAGACCATGGGCTCAGCTATGGGCACCAAAATGGCCCCACAGTATGCCAACCTATTTATGAGCCACCTGGAAGAAGAATTCCTCAAAGACTGCATCATCAAACCCTTGCTATAGTTAAGATATATCAATGACATCTTCATCATTTGGACTGAAAACCTGCAATCTCTGATTGCTGAGTTTCTGGATAGAACTCCATCATCACCCCTCCATCCGACTATCTCTTGAGTACTCCAGCACCAACATCTCCTTTTTAGACATGATGATCAGCATCCAGAATGGTAAAATACAGACCATGTTGTACAAGAAACCCGCATACCACTATACATATCTGCGCAGAACCAGCAATCACCCTAAACACACCAAGAAACTTATGATATACAGCCAAGCCCTCAGATACCACCAAATCGGCACTAAGGAGAATACCGAGTGCTACCTCACAAATCTTAAAAAGGCTTTCACACAACAAGGACGCTCCTCCAGAGAGAGAGAGATGCACATTTGAAAGAGTCACCCCGATACCATGTGAAGAATTGCTGCAGTGCAGAAGGAAAACCCCCATGAATCGCACACCGCTGGTTATGACAATATCACCCCTCCCTTGAACCTATATGGAAAATCCTCAAACAGTTGCAACCCATACTAGAAGGAGACCCAATTCTTAAACAGATCTTCCCAGATCCACCCATCCTAGCCTTCAAACAAGCACTGAACCTCGCTAACCTCATCACTAGAATCACACTTCCTATGGCCCAAAACACACCGAATGGGTCCAGGCCAGGCCATGAAAAGAAATGCAAAACCTGCCAACATATCTCCACCACCCCCACAATTGCTACAGCCCACAACAGAACCATCACCATTCCTGGTTCTTACACCTGCACGTCCAGAAACGTTATATATCTCGTTCTGTGCACCAAATGCCCTGATAGAAAATTATGTAGGAGAGACCAAACAACATGTGCACACCAGAATGAACATACACCAGAAATCTATTAAAGACCAGAATACCCAATCACTGGTGGGAGCACATTTCTCACAAGAAAACCGCTTTCTCTCCAATCTCTCAGTATTAATCCTCAAAGGGAATTCACAAAACACATTTCACAGACAAGCCTATGAAATTCATCAACCTCCTGGATACAAAAAATCATGGATTCAACATAGAAGAAATACAAAAATGTAGAACTCTTGGTTCCAAAATGATGCCTTTTATTAGACCAACTAAGAAATCACAAGAAAATTGTCCTTTTCAGCAAGCTTTCGGATTCAAAGGCCCCCTTCATCAGGCTCTGAGAAAAGTATAGATGGTAAAAAGTCCCCATGGGTAGGAAATAAACTTCATTTTGGCACCAAGGGAGCTGGAGATGGAAAGCTGTCCCTCTGGGTCTAGCTTTTTCTTGTGATTTCCCAGTTGGTCTCATAAAAGGTATCATTTTGGAACCAAGAGTTCTACATTTTTGTATTTATTCTTGTCTTAGACCAACTCGGCTACCAAGTACATCCCTGAAACATGGAAGATGCTGAAATTTAGCCGATTTTGAATTTTAAACTTCATTTCAGAACAAGAAGGAAGATTTTTTTTTTTTTTTTACCTTTGTGCCTGCCATCTGACACCTCCAAGGAAGGAATTTTACATAATCTACATACCAAAGAGCAACTCAACACAATTCTCAAAAACACAGCTACTAAGTATATCCCTGGACTAAACACAGACATTGGATTTATGACGTACTCTAAGCTGCCTGACATCTGACTCCCCAGGTACCTGTCCACTTTTCCTTGCTACACTCATCCCCCTTTCCCAGCTCCTCCAGCCTGTGTCTCATGCACTGGCTCCTCCATTCACATCTTCACTGACTGCCCTTCTTGCTGCAGCCCAGCCTCTGGCCTCTTTACTATTTGTTCCATCCAGGAAAAGTGCACACCAACTGCAGGTGCTTCCCCAGCCTGACCAAGGGCTTTTAAGCCCGAAAGCTTGCTAAGAAAAATGTTTCTAACTAATTTAGTTGGTCTAATAAAAGATATCACACACACAAGGTTCCTTGGGTGAATTTGATATCTTTTATTAGACCAACCCAAATGGTTGGAGAATAGTTATTAAGCAAGCTTTCTGGTTCAAAAACCCTTCGTCAGGCTCAGGAAGCTGCAGCAGTCAGTGTGTGCTCTTCCTGGATGGGATGAGAAGATGCAGAGGGGAGGGCTGGGCTGGGCTGGGCTGGGTTGGGCCCGGCGGGGAGCAGGTAAGGCAGAGCTCTCCCAGCCCAGCTCAACCCCCTCCCCCCACCCAGGTGCAGCGCCAGCAGGTGCGGTGGGGCTCTTCAGGCAAGACCCCAGCTCTGTCCTCTCTCCCCCAGCCCTATCAGTGGAGGAGGGGCCCTGCTTCCAGCTGCCGGGGAAGCAAATGTGAAAGCTGCAGTTTTAAACTTGGCGCCAAAAATGGGTGCCGAGTTTAAAACTGTGGCTTTCACTTCCCTGCTGGGGAGGATTCATCGATCGTTAGGGGCTGGAAGGGACCTCACGGATCATTGGGTCCATCCCCCCTACTTTAGGCAGGAAGACAACTAGGGTTAGGTGACCCCAGCAAGGTGACTGTCCAGTCTCCTCTTGAACACCTTTAGGGTAAGTGACTCCACTACCTCTGGAGGGAGTTTATTCCAGTCTAGACACCCTGACCGTGAAGGAGTTTTTCCTGGTATTAAGCCTGAAGCGGCCTTCCAGGAGTTTGTATCCGTTGGTCCTGGTCTTCCCCAGGGGTGCACTAGTGAACAGTTGTTCACCGAGCTCCTGATGCACTCCTCTGATATAGCGGTAAGCTGCTATCGAGTCCCCTCTCAACCTTCTCCTCTTTAGGCTAAAGAGGCCCAGGTCCCTCAGCCTTTCCTCGTGTGGCTTGCCTTGCAAGTCCCTGATCATACGGGTAGCTCTTTTCTGGACCCTCTCAAGTTTTTCCACGTCCTTATTGAAGTGTGGCACCCAGAACTGGACACACTACTCCAACTGCGGTCTCACCAGTGCTGAGTACAGAGGGAGTATCACTTCCTCCTTAGTTTTACATGAGTTGCATCAGTTGCTGCATGCCAGTGTGTTGTTTGGCTTACTGGCCACCGCCTGGCACTGACGGCTCATATTCATGCGATGGTCAGTCATTACCCCAGGTCCCTTTTAGCCATGGTGCAGGTCAGGCTGTCATGTCCGAGCCTGTATGTATGTTGAGGGTTATTTGCCCCTGGGTGGAGCACCTTACACTTTGAAGTGTTAAACTTCATCTGGTTCCGGCCTGCCCAACTCTCTAGCCTGTCCAAGTCCGCTTGTATCTGCAACCTATCTTCTGGCGTGGCCACACCGCCCCATACTGCCCAAGAAGCATGCTTGCTGCACGGGGCCCCTTGGCTGCAGGGTCCTTGCAGCTGCAGGTTTCACAGGCATGGATGGGCCAGCCCTGAGCACAGCCCCTGGCAGCCATTTCAGTATCCCCTGCCTTCATTCTGGCATGGAAATCTACTTCTTCACTTAAGACGTGCACCCCAATTTTGGGTGGCTAATTTTGGGGGGAAGATGCCTGCGGTATGCAACTAAATATAGTGTTTACTGTCTTATTTTAATTTACTACCACTGAATATTGCACCTTTACCTTCTAGCTTAAGTGTTCCATTTGGTTAGTCTTCAGTGCAATACCATATTGCATAATAGGCCATCAACAAGCAAGAGGGATACTAGTCTCTTACCTGATAAACTTGTTTTCTCAGGGTTCATATCTAGTAGTATAGCACTGATGTTTTAAAATTAAATACTTTATGAAAAAGCATAGTGAACTGATTAGTGGTAGAACGGAAATTTCGATGCCATATAAATGTCACAGCTTACAAGATGGGGGTCACTGTTTTCATACATTTCATATTTACAAGCAAGTAATTTGCACCTCCTTCAGACAAATGGATTTGAATTATGGTCATGAATTTAACAGTGACCTCAATATAGTGTTTCAGTGCAGCATTTTCACCCTCCGGTCAAAATGACCCTACATTCTGACTCCTTTTTCTATAGAGTTTTCTGGTGATTGGAGTTGACTTTTATATATGCAAACTGAATAATTGAGGGTCTAGCTGTGAATCACTGGATTCCTGCATGTATAGTGTGTGTGTGTGTGTGTGTGTTTGTGTAATATTTAATTTCCTAGACACAGTGAACACTGATTTTGATCCTAAATATTTATTTTCTTATAAAGGACACTGAAATAAAGGAGTACAATAAGGCATGGAGAAAAAACACAGAAAGTATATGCACTGCATTTAGCAAATTGAGCTATACATAAAAGTTTATAAATTTTCTTTTAGGAATAGCTCCATTTTAGTTCTGTTAAAGAACCAAATCCACTGTCATATTTTGATGATATATTTGTTGTATTGCAGTCTTTGAAGAAACTGAATCATGCCAATGTAATAAAACTGAAAGAAGTTATCCGAGAAAATGACTACCTTTATTTTGTGTTTGAATACATGAAGGAAAATCTGTATCAGTTAATGAAAGACAGGTATGTCTGGTAAAGCGGTAGGCTATGATGTTTTCTGTTTTATTAATGACTAGTAGTGGTATCTTGAGCATATGTAAATGTATAAATATCATTCCATCAATAATGGATTCAGATTGCTAAAAATATGGGACTGCATGCTGTCATTAGGGTTTCCTGAGCTTCCATCAAAGTGGATGTAAGTTATACCTGTGCATCCCCAGAGAACAAATTGGTGTTGTTTATTTTTTGGTATATTTGAAGTAACACAACCAGATAAGCCAGTATGAGGTAATTGCATGCATTCAATGTGTACTAAGTTGCGATGGATTTTTTTTAAAGCAACCCAAACTAGTTTTTCTTAATTCTTATTTTTTTGTATAAAAAATTAAACCATTTCACATACTGCATATGCTCTTTATTTTGGTTTAAGAATGGTGACACAAATGAATCTCATGCACACACAAAATGTGATTTTATAGCCCTTATGCAAGCATATCTCCCATATCAGATTTCTTGAAAATGGGATCCATGTTAGGCCCCATACTGTTAATATACATGTTTGCTTTTGTTCTTTTGCCCTTGAAGTTCTTTTGCTTCATAATATATTTTGCCAAATGTCAAAAATGCATGTGCTATCTTATATAAAAACTTTGATTAAAAAATTACTTGAAATTAATTTGTTTCTTTGCAGGAACAAGTTGTTCCCTGAGCCAGTCATCAGAAACATTATGTATCAGATATTACAAGGGCTAGCTTTTATACATAAGCACGGTAGGTTTCTTGATAGTTTGATTGTGTTATCCTTTGAGGACGAAGACAATGCACAATAACTGTAAAAAAAACCCTATGCAGCTGGAGTTATAGACTGAACTGGTTGCAATTTACTGTATTAGAGATGAAATATGATTGCTCTTTGATGCATTTTTTAAATTGGTTTCAGTCACTTTAAAATATTTTTTTAAAAATCCCAAGAAACCCATTAAGCTATTTATTACCATCAATGAGCTTTGCCAGTCCTGGAGTTCAACATTAAAAAGCCATTTTTTGAAAGCAGCTATACATTTTTTTAGTGTTTAATGATAGCATATCAATGCTAAAATGTACTTAAAGAGTTTTAGTAATTTATTTTTTTTCCATAATCACATTAATTTTGAAGGAGGGTTCATTAAAACAAACAAAAGAAACCAAAAGCTTTGTTCTAATGAATCCCAAAGCAAATGTCATACCTTAGAGAGCTTCTGAATAAAGCAATGCCATAATTTTCCTCCTCCTTTCCCTCTCCCTCCATACATATTTTCACAGGTTTTTTCCATCGGGATATGAAGCCTGAAAACCTTCTGTGTATGGGGCCAGACCTTGTGAAAATTGCTGATTTTGGTTTGGCTAGAGAACTTAGGTCTCAACCACCATACACAGACTATGTTTCTACAAGGTGGTAAGTGACATAAACACAATCTTAATTTATCCTTTTCTTATACCTCTACTTCTGAGTTTGGCCTGTTATTTCTTTCCATCTCCATAGGTATCGAGCACCTGAAGTCTTGCTGAGATCTTCTGTTTATAGTTCTCCTATTGATATATGGGCAGTTGGCAGCATCATGGCTGAACTGTACACACTAAGACCTCTCTTCCCAGGCACAAGTGAAGTAGATGAAATATTCAAAATTTGCCAAGTGTTAGGGCCCCCAAAGAAGGTAAGCTGCTGTGCAGACTTATATAGTAGTAAGAATTATGGAGAATGAAATAAATGGATTGTATTGGATTCTGTTTTACTGTCAAAGGAAGGGGTAGAAGTGAGTGTTCTTATGATTGCTTCTCCATATTGTTCATTCTTTCTGGAGTGTTTTGTTTGCTTCTGTTGGGGTATGAAATATTGCTTTTTTATGTATTAGCATCCTTCTTTGCGGTGTACTTCTACATGCCTCTGCTCTTCATCATTGTAAAATTCAGACTGGTCTGGGCTTTACGAATATTAACATGCAGAAATTCTTTTCTAAGATTTCATCTATCACAGCTGCCTTTTTCTCACTTAGGTCATAATTCTCTCATGGTGTTAACCCAAATTATTGGTATACAAATTATTTCGATCTCATAGAAATTATGCCATAAAGTGGGGGAAAATGCAGCTGGAGCACATGAATTCTTAAAATATAAAACTTCTGATTTCATATAAAATATTCTTAGCAAAGAAGGAAAATCGTTGACAGCATAATAAAGTTAAATTGTTCTTCAGGCAAAAGATACTATTTAAAGACCAATATTTGAAAAATAAAGTTTAGAGTTGTGCTTGTAAAAATCTGCATATGTGTAATGGTATTTACACATGTGCCCATGCATGAACTCACAAATCCAGAAACTGCTTGAACAAATGGGTGAAGGTGAACGATTTTTAGTGCATAGGAAACAAATAACTGAGGGTAGTGTAACAGAGAGTCTGGAATTGAAAAGATGAGAAAAGCAAAGCAGCACAATGAAAAATTGAATAGGACTGTAAGACATGAGAGAACACACTGGGTTTAAACAAGAGAGCAGCGTGAAATGTCTGGAATCTTGAGGGTGAAAGTGAGGAGTTAAAACTTGGTATAGAAGGTAATAAAAATCAGTGAAGGGATTCCTGGGGCATTGGTTTGAGATGGTGGGAGGGACAAGTGGAGGAAAACAATTTTACCTGAAGAATTTTGGATAGACTGAAGAGCAGCTGTATGATGTACAGTACCTGGATGCCAAAGAGAAGGAAACTCCAGTAGCTAAGCCTAAAGATGACAGACATAGCAATGGGAATGGACACAAACAGGCATGTCCGAGGTAGACTTGATGTGA